TGTGGTCAGTATGAGTTGCTTCTCTGGTAATACGAAGAGGGTGAATTGTGAAGGAGAAGATTACGTGCAGCGTGATTCCAGTTGCAGCAAAGATCACGTCCAGAGTGAAGAGAAAATGAAGGGAATTGCGAAGAGAGAGTCCAAGTCCCCGCCCATCCTAGTAGCTTATTTCCCCGGCGGACCTCGGCTCTCTCCTCTCTAAAGAAATGGCAATCGTATCACTTGATCGCGAGCAATTTTGAAAAAAACTGTGTTCTGATTGTCTCTCTCATTCTTTGGTAGGGAGAAGTATAGTGAACATTTTGTTTGTTCTTATCATAGCTTCCTTCTTTTTTTTTTTCATGTGGAACTCAATCCTTCGTCCATTTAAAATAAATTATTATCGCGATCCTCTCGAGACGAACCCCAAAGGGGTTAAAGGACCGACGGCAAATAATCTCTTGCGATACAAGGTTCAATGAAATTCACCACCAAGGCTTATAGAATGAACTACCCGCCAAGGATACAGAACTTCGGATAGGAGAAGCTTGCCACCAAGGCATATAGGAAAACCACCCACTGACAATATAGTGCTTCTTAACTCACCACCAAAGAAAAATCCACATTGATACAGAAATCGGGAATAGATATTTGCTCACACAGAGACAAATTTCATATATTCTCAATATTCAAGTCTTCGTCTTACATTTGATGATTTCGCCTTTATTTAAAGAGGTACTAATACTAAGGAAATAGACTAAGCATTAAAGACATGAGAACTACCCAACATTAATGACATAGGAACTAGAAAACACAATAAAGACCTAGGAACTAGAAAGTGCATTAAAACACATATGAACTTGAACTTTGACTCTTGAAACCTACAATGCACTTAAGACTCATAAAACTACAACTGATGACACTTGACCAATGCAAAGTAAGTAAACTTAGACTCTAAATTCGTTCACCAGCTTGGGTAGACTAATAGACATCTTGAAAGATTGCAAACATCAAAGGAAATCTTTCAAAACAGCCTCTGATTGCTAAGTAGTTGATTAGTTGTCTCGGAATCGATAGCAAGCTTGTAAATCGACATCTATGTAGTTAATTGACAACCATGAAATCAACAACTTGTCCATTGAATCAACAACTATCTTGCATAATCAACATCTTCAACTTGAATCGATTGACAAAGCCCAATGCTCCCACATCATTCTTCCCAGGTCGTTGAAGATTTGTCCACAAATCTTGTCATGGCTTCATTTCCAGGATGGCCTCTCCAACAAACTGGATAATACATTAGCTTGAACCCTATGAAATTCTCCAATGCTGAAAACACACCTTCCAGCTTTTTATTAAATAGCGCATTTTAGGGTAGTGAACTCTCTTTCTCACTTATTTTGCTTTCAACCATAAGCAAAGTTATGAATGGCTCTCTCAACCTTTTTTTTTTTCAAGAAAATGTTTTCCTTACTTGTATTTCCCTCCCCAGGTTGAATTTTGTGAGTCATGTATGGATTTAATAGAACAAGGGTGATATGCTTCTAGTCCTTGATAAATGAGTATGTGTTATTATGGCCATTATGCACAACTTTCCTATCAAATTGCCAAGGTCTCCCAAGAAGCAAATGGCAAGCATCCATGGGAACAACATCACACCATACTTCATCTTTATGTTTTTTTTTTTTTCAATGAAGAATTGAACAAGACATCTTTTATCAACCCTTACCTCATTCCCTTTGCGAAGCCAAGAAAGCTTGTACGGTTGAGGGTGTTTCTCAATCTTAAGGTGCAATTTAAATAATATTTAAATTAAAAAATCATCAGATTTGGACCAAAGCAACGTCGTTTTGGCCTTGTCCTTCATGTTTTAACCACGTATGAAAGAGAAAATAATAATAAAAAAAGCCATGTCAGTGTTTTCCGTTAATCTAGTTTGACGGAGTTAATGGAAGGACTTGATTGCACCAATTTGATAAGTTTTAAAATTTGATTACACTTTTTGAAAATTTTAAGACTTAATTGCACTTTCGTGACTATGACTTTTAGTGCACTTATCCCTTATTTTTTCTTTTCCTTTCCCAATTTTTTTCTTTTTGGTTGTAATTTTATCCAAACAACGTATTTACATGAAGAGCTTATAGCGGGGAATATGGATGTGTTTTAATAATATGTGTTGAGTTTGACCTTCAAATTGATGACAATGGTATTTTGGATCATGCACATTTATTTTAAGGTTTTTTTAAGAGGGACTATAAAAGCGATGTGTTGCACAACGCATTTCTAACCCTAGTCTCCACATTCTCTTTTTTCTTTGTTCTTTATATCTTCTTATTTGATCTTTAGATCATGTGGCTCACCAAGTGATTTTTGAGCTTTTCGATTGTACTCGTTGTTGAAGATAGTGAAACCCCTCTCTCCCCCCGTGGTTTTTTTCCTGTTTTGGGTTTTCACGTATATCTTGTGTCTCGCGTGATTCGATTTAGCTTCCATCCTTACTATTTGTGCATCGATTTGTGCATTTCTCGGTGTTGTTCGGCAACAATATGGGTTTGGGGGTTAGGTCGGGTGTAGGTTATTAAACTTGTATTCAAGAAAATGAGTGGGTCCACTTAGATAGGAACATTGTCAATCCGATCCGACCCACCCATTTGGTGAGCCTAATGAAATCATTAATTGTTTTTGGGTCGCGCTTTTTCCACTACTCATTTGGCTCACGCACTCCCCTTTACAATGTTATGACCATTTTATCCCTTGCTTTTTCCACCTTTCGCATGCTTGTACCCAGGGGTGTCAATGGGTCGGATCGGGTCGGGCTTTCCTGATATCCGACCCGACCCAAAATGTAGAGGGTCGCATTTGACCCGCCCCGCCCCTACCCAAGACCCTATTCAGCATTTACCCCAAGAGATGGGTCGGGTAGGGTCGGGTCAGTGCTGGTGCCGGTGTCGGTGCCTCAACGCCAAAATCTCACCAGAGTTGTATAAATCGTCCTCCTGCTCAGTCTCTATTCGACGCCGGCACCCCTTTCTCTCGCTTGAAGGGTCCATGGACAGGGGCGACTCCTCCCCCTCCACCTCGCACCGCCGTTTCCAGCGGCTCCCAACTTCCGGGAGGGCATGAACTGGGTAATGGCTGGCAGGGTTCCCTGCCGCCGGCTCCCCCTCCTCCGGCCCCTGGCACCAGAGAAAACAATCGCAAATACACAACCGTTCAGCCGCAGGATCGGCAGAAAAACTCAGCCACCAACAGCACCCGTGATTCGATCCTTCCTCCCCGCATGTAAATCGAGGTGGAGAAAAAACGACGATCGGAGAAGCAATGCCGACGAGACGAGAGGAGAGGAGAGGAGAGGGAGGAGCGAAAGGGGGCGAACCTCGTTCATGAGCGAAGCGAGCTCGAGAAATCCCCCCCTTCCCTCCGATCTACGTCGGAACCGTGGCTGCCGGAAAGAAGGAGAAGAAGCCGAAGCCACCGCCACCGCCGACGAGAGACTGAGGAGCGGCGAGATCTGCTGGCGGTGCGCGCAACTCCACTGCAGCAAGCACGACTCCTTAGAGAGAGAGAGAGAGAGAGAGAGAGAGAGAGAGAGAGAGAGAGAGAGAGGGGTTTGGTGGTTAAGTCTTTTTGTACGTAGAGAGAGAGGAGAGAGAAGAGGGAGAATAATGGGTCTAACAATGGGCCGGCCCTGACCTTACCCTAACTCTAACAATACCCATCCTAAAAGCCCTACCCTAAAAAAATTGACACCCAACCCCAAAATACCCTAAATTTTAGGGCCGAGTCGGGCCGGCTCGGGTCTTTTTGACACCGCTACTTGTACCACACCGACTCAAATGTGGGACCCATTTGTTATCCCCTTTTTTTTTTTATTTGTTTCTTCTTTTTTCTTCCTCTGCTCCATCCCGATACTCTGTTTTTGTGCTTCTCATATTCTCTTCTTCGTTCCTTACAAGATCCGAAACTTTCTTCACGAACTCTGTTCCTCGATCCTGTTTTCATGCTTGCCAACTAGACACCACAGTTCTTGATGCTCCGAAACTCATGACGTCTCCGGTGCTCAGCGAGATCCTCCTCTTGGGTTTTATGATCAACTCCACCTTTCGCCGCAGGACCCACCTTGTTCAACCCTTCTCCGTCGTCTTCCTCAACTGGTTCAACGGTTTCTTTCTTCTAACCCGGTCCTGTGCCAACTAAGTGCTTGATAGAATTCCCCTTAAAGTCTTTCCTACGTGCTTTTTCCTAGTTTCTGGTCTATAGTTTTTTCTCGTCTTTTTTGGTTGCTAGTGTTGTGCTATATGTGTTGGAGTCGTTCTTCTAGTACGGGAAAATCTTCAGGGTCGTCCTCCTTCGCGCTCCGAGGAGTGTCTGCGTGAGCGGAACCATATCATGGACCAGTGGAAGCGGAAGCATATGATCTCGAACCGAGAGTCAGCCCATCGCTCGCTGATGCGGAAGTAGAAGCACATGGACGACCTGATAGTCATCCTCTTCACCTTCCGGTCTTTTGTTTGCGTTGCCGAGTGAGCTCTAGCACCATGGTTATTTGGGACTCCAGAATTGATCCCAACGCGACTATTAGCGGAGATCCTATCCAAACAAGGGTCATCTGAAACAGACTGAGATTGAGATTAAGCCTCAGCAATTAAGCGTCGATAATCTGCCCCTTTACTCTTCAGCACCGGAACATCATAAACTTGAATTCCACTATTCTCTTCGAGGCCCGTACCAATTTCTTCTTCCTCGTAACGGTCCCAATTTGAACGCAGCTTCGATTTCGGCAGTAACTGAGCTTCCTTGGGAACTTGCTTTCCCGACGCCATGTTGGCGCTCGCTGAGTCGCTCAAAGTTCCCGACGGAGCTTAGTTTCGGACTGGGATAACTCTTCTTACTGTGGTGCAGAGAATAAAAAAGCGGGTGGTGCAAACCAAGACCGCCCAGTTGGTGGTGTGCATGGAGGTCTCGGAAGGAGGGAGATGAGGGAGCGTCGGCGAAAGCAAGGGTTAAAATGGTAGAATAGAAGCGAAAAAAGCGCGACCCTTTTGCGGTCTTGAAAAAACGATCCCAACACATCGTCCTCAAGATTAGTGTTCCTAATTTCCCGCAATCACGTAGTTTCCTAGAAATTTCCTCGAATTGCTGTAGGAAGCTGATTGAGTTGGGGTTTGACAATTAGCACACTGTTCCTTTCACTCATGGAACACCACCTTCAACATCATATATAGAGAGAGAGAGGAAGAGACTCTGATCTGCATCAGATCTGAAGCTCAGAAAAGTTCACTCTATTTCTACTGCAGCTCTAAATCTCCGTGACAAAAAACAAAAAAAAACAGCCGAATTCCACACGCCTTTCTCAATTCATTAAAGTCGGTCACCGCCTCCGCCGGTATGAGTCTCTTCTCTAGCTTTTTCTGCAGTTGCTTCTCTGGTACGAGGAAGAGCGTGAACTGCGAAGGAGACTACTACGTGCAGCGCGATTCGAGAAGCAACAAAGATCGTGTCGCGAGCGAAGAGAAATCGAAGAAAAAAGCGAAGAGGAAGTCCAAGTCCCCGCCCATTGTAGTGACTCATTTCCCCGGTGGATCTCGGCTCTCTCCTCTCTGAAGAAATAGCATCGATCATCGTCATATCACTTAGATTGCGAGCAGATTTGGTCGATTTTGTTTGTCATTTTTTCTCTACATACTTAGTTGAAAAACAGAGTATTTGGCTCCTGAGTAGGAGCTTTGGAAGGACAGTCACCTGGTGCTCCAAAAGCACCTAATATTTTTTTTTTCTAATCCAGGAATATTACTTTCATTGCTCAATTTACAAAGAAACCTAAGTAGGATCGCACTTAAAACTTAAGCAATCACAACGTATGTAAAATATGGGTTAAAAAAAATAAAAGAGGAAAATGGTTGAAAAGTCAAAAGAAGCAACAGCGATGCTCGGCTCGTTTTAAGAAGCCAAGAGCACAAACAGAAACAGAAGAAAATAGAGGAAAAGAGGAGAAAGGAGAGGAAAGGAAAGAGGAAGAAGAAAAAGAGAAAAGAGAAGAGGGCTTTGCACCGCGGGGGTCTCGCTAAGCCGATTCGACTTCGTAACGCAACGCTCCGTAAGTATTCGCACCCCCTCGTTCAATTAATTGGAATATTTTTCGGGTTAGGGCTCGAAATTCGGAGTTATGTGTTATTCGAGCGGCGAAGTCAGATTTTTGAGTCGTAGAGCTACGTATTTATATAGAATTGGTAGTTTATGGTGTTGCGGAGCCGTGAGATTTTACAGAATCTGATTTGGACTTACTATTTGCCGGATATGAATTTTTGAAGTTGAACGCGCGCAGTGAACAGTGCACGGTCAGTGGCTTTTAGGCTGATTTTCGTCGGTTTTCGGCTCGATTTTGGGGCTGCCAAGTTGGGGTTCCTGTAGTGCTCCGAATGAGCTTTCTTTTGACTATAAACTTGCTTGGATTGGAGTTTAGTGGAGAAAGATATGGCGCAATCAAGTTTTGCGCTCAAGCTCCACATCGTGGACGATTTTGGATAATCGCTTTGGACGAGCGATTTGAGAGCGTCTTTTAGTAGTTATATTAGCGTCTAAGCCTAGTTTAGCCAAGTCGTAGTTGAATTAACATTTTACTCGGTTTTGATACCGTTTTTAGATTTATTGTTAGGTATTCGAGTGCGTCGGCTCGAGAAATCGCCGTAGGTTAGTTTTTCGGCTTTTCAAGGTGAGTGGTACTATTTCTTCTTCGAATTTGTAAGCTCATGTTTAGAAAATGAGATGTTATAGATATGTTATCATATAAGAAATGACATTTTGTTTGCATAAAACTGGATCGAGTATTTACTGCCATTTTGTGTATTTGGAATAGAAGATTTCCTTTTGATTTCGGTTTGAACTTATGGAATGTAAATGGGTTTGTGAAATCTCTTGTGAAAGACTTATAAGGAGTTCTTGAGTTTGAATGTGATTTTTGAAGGGTTATATACCCGTTTGCGAAATGATTTCTGAATATTGATGATTTTGATTGTGGATTGGATTTGCTGGTATGGGAGGATGTGGATTTTGATGTTTAGTGTCTTTTTGAACCCAATGAGAGGTTATGAGTATGCACATACTAGTCTAGGATATCCTTGTGGGCCGAGCCACCGGCTTATAGTAGATGGTGACCTTGCCAAGGGGGGAATCTTGGTCGTCTTTCACGGGGCATTATCCGTGATCATAGTTAGATTTTTGAGCATGAGATTGGCCAATGGAATGGACCATTGGTGTGTACTTTTTGATGAGATTGGCCAATGGAATGGACCATTGGCGTGTGCTTTTTGACGAGATTGGCTAATGGATTTGACCATTGGTTTCTTCTTTGATATTATTAATTGGAATGAGCTTTCCTATTGTGAAAATGTGATGTTTAAAGTAGCATATAACGTATTTTGAACCTGGAGTTTGTTATATGTTGGGTTAATTGAGCTTTCGTTTGGTCTTATAACTGTGTGCATAGTGGGTGCTCGATCTACTTAGAAGAAATGTATTACTCACTGAGTCGTGGTAGCTCATTCCTTTCATCTTACTTGTTTTTCAGGTTCTTCATCGAGCCGCAAGTAGGGCTTGAGAGTTTCGATATCGGGGTGGACATTTTGATAGTGAAGACTTTTTGGTACGAGTTATGCATAGATGTGGAGCTTAATGTATTAGCTTGTTTCTGGTTATGTACTTAGCTTTTTGATGGATTGTAGTTAACTCTGATATTGTAACCAAATAAACTATATATCATGTATATATATGTGGATGCATATATTATGATATTAGGTGAGTTTTGGTTATGTTTAGGCTGCGTCCTTTGGTGAAAGGATGGCCATGTCATGCCCTTATTCTTGTTGAGTTTGGGGTGTGACAACGTACGTAGAAGACACCTTGTAACACTGCGAGTGATTTTCAAGTAGTGAAGTAGGATGAGTTCCTATCCACCTTCGTACGAAAAATTTGAATTATAATATAATGGGATGATAGAAATATCCATACAAAAAGATATTGTATAAATATATGAGGAAAGAGAGAAATATTATAAGTTCTTAATTTTTTTTAGGAAGATTGTGCTATAATATAAAAGATTCGAATTTTAAAATTGAAATTTGCGGAAGACGAAATAGAGTTATTAATCTATGCATATGTCCGCGAACAATCCATTCGCAAAATAAATAGTTAAGGATATTTCGGGAAAGCAAAAATGATGAAGATCTCCTAAAAGTAGGAGTTTCTCATTGTTTTATATAATAGTATAGATAAGTATATGTTATGTACTCAAAACTCTTTCAACATTACCCATTCTGGCTTGGATCCGGCAATAAGGGCGTTTCCATTCTTTAGGCTCAAGAATTAACAGCTATAGGTTCGATTCTTGCCATAGGGAGCTTGGATTTAAGTGGGGATCACGAGGGCAGATTGATGTGCTAGTTCCAGTCTAGATATCTGGGTAATTACGTTCGTGGTCCTGAATTATATAAGAAATAAAAAAAGAACTCCTTCGTCTTGGTTCTAGCAATTCGCGACTTGGAAAAACAGTCACGGGACAGTTGTATAAAAACTATAAAAAAAAAAAAATACAAATAAGAAACCTCCTTACATGTCCAAGAACCGGCTAAAGTCGGTCAGAGGTTTGAAAGTTGGTCTCCAATCTCGCATCCATACATTATTCTCGAATGTCATGTCACCAAGCCAATAGCATCACGATGCAACAACAGAAGCACGCGGTGTGCTCCAAGAAAATTTAGGACATGTGTTAGGAGAAGAAGAAGAATAAGAAGAAGGGGGTTGGTGAGAGAGGAGGGGAGTGACGGAGACGCGATGACGACGGCACAAACTGCGAAAGCCATAGGTGGAGAGATCGTGGAGGATGGGACCATGTGAATTGCAGCGGATAATATTTTTGTAAGCAGTCAGCGCTCAGTTGGATGCGTTCTAATATATCCTTCAAGCTTAAAAAATTCTCGGAGATATATCAAAATGACTTTGAGCTTGGTACGAGATAACACGGAGACCAACTAAGAAGAACCCTAGGTAGTTCCAGGAACCGGAGGAGCAGGAAGACCGAGTAATGACAGTGACACATGAAAGAATCCTCCGATTTCTTGGAAGCTAAGGCCACGTCTCTTGAAAGCTTTATTGATATGTCTATGTCTATATATAGTGAAAGAATCGTGAATTTTCTCACAACAACTCAGAAAAAGTTAGCTGTTACAACAGCTTCAGCTGTTCCTAAAGAGAACCGGCCAAAGTACAGATTTCTCAGCCTCTTCTACTCGTAGAATACTATTGCCATTTTCATCCTCATCGATCATGAGTCTCTTCTCGAGCCTATTCAGTTGCTTCTCTGATCATTCGAATAGTAGAGTGATCAGCTACGATGGAGAGGATCACTCGAACAAGAGCCGTTCAATAAGTGAACACGGCCATGTCGAAGGTGAAGGCAAATCAAAGAAGAATAACTCCAGGAGCAAGTCCAAGCCTCCTCCAATACCCATGGGTTACTTCCCCGTTGGATCTCAACTCTCTCGTCTCTGAGTCCGGCCGAAGACTTAACACCATTTGTAATAATCTTATTTGTGCAAGAGGGCAGTAGAATCTGTGTATTGGTTCATTCATTTGTTCTTAAGAAATTGTTGGGAATAGAATATACAACACTTTGAAATGTTTTTTGTTTTTCCTTTTTATAAGGTTAATGTATAGTAATTGTGTTCAAGATTCACATCATTTTTATGTGAAAGAATACTCAAAAGTTGCTTTTTCCATGTTTGTTTCATTAGTCCTCCTCTTTCAAGTCAATTCCTCCGTGCTCAACATCAGGACACAAAACATGACTACATGCATGAACACACAATGTGGAGCTTAAACTTTAGGGTTAGTCTCTCCGCCCAACTGGAAAAAAGAAAAAGAAGGTTACCCTAAATCTGTCTGTGATTTTGCTGTCAAGGGTAAAAGTAGATCTAGCCATTGTTGTGTTCAAGCATCCATCATCTTTGTGTGAATGAATAAGCAAAAGTTGCTTTTTTTATATGTTCGTTTTACTAGTCCTCTCCTCTTTCGAGTCAATTCCTCAATGGTTAAGATAAAGACCAATGTGGAGCCGCCCTATTGGAAGGGGAAAAAAAGAGAAAGGTTTTGCCTGAGTCTGTCTGTCTTCTTGCTGTCAAGAATAAAAGTAGCTCTAGCCATTAGAGTGACTCATTTTTAAGATTTCAAATTGCTTAAATCTAATGTTCAACTAACCTTTGGAATAAATTATCTATCATATTCATGTCTGATAGAAAGAATGTTTACATCACTAACAATAGCCAATTGACATACAAGCAATCTGATTTCTTAAAAAATGAGTGAAGGTAGAAGTAACATCACATCGATATTTCTAATATTTCATGTTTGACCTTCATAATTAGACTTGCTTATAACTTAAATCAGTTAAGACTAAACTTGAGCCCAAATTTATTTAGTGTACCATGGCTATTTACATGACTTGGGTACCCGATTGGACGACTCGACTATGATCATGTGATGGATACGAAATGTGTAGAAAAAAAGTGCAAATACTGTATAGTTGATATTCATTCCTATTCTAATTCACTTGAACATTGCTTGGTACTTCGAAAATTTGAACCCCCATAAATCTTATTTGGTGGTCATTACTGTAATCCCACCTCCTCCCAATTAACATTTCCCATTTTAAATCGAGATTTATATCATATACACCGCCAATGAAAAAGCTTTTTTTTTTACCCAAACTGTCTCACAATGGATAAATCAACCCGTTTATGAATAGCCAATTGACATACAAGCAATCTGAAATATTAAAAAATGAGTTTGAAAGTAGAGGTAACATCACATCGATGTTTGAATGTTTGCATCACTAACAATAGCCAATTGACATACAAGCAGTCTGAAATCTTAAAAAATGAGTTTGAAAGTAGAGGTAACATCACATCGATATTTTTGATTTTCATGTTTGACCTTCATAATTAGACTTGCTAATCACTTAAATCAGTTAAGATTAAACTTGAGCCCGAATTTATTTAGTGTACTATGGTTATTTATACTTGACTTGGGTACCTGATTGGACGATTCAACTATGATCATATGACGGATGCAAAATGGGTAGAAAAAAAGTGCACTATTTGTGTGTTGATAATAATTCCCGATCTAACTCACTTGGACACTGCTTGGTACCTCGAAAATTCAATTCCCCTAAAATGTTACTTAGTGGTCATTATTGCAATCCCACCTCCTCCCAATTAACATATCCCATTTTAAATTGGAATTTATATTATATACACCACCAATAAACAATATAAGAATGGATAAATCAATCAGTTTATGGAATAAATTTCTAAAACGAAAATAGATCATACACTGTCTGTGTGAAGGAAAGTTTACACAAGATGTCTTATCTGCCCTTGATTTGAGGATTATAACTACTCACTCTCTCAAATCAATGGTGTACAAAACCGCTTGTGTTTTGTGTTTATATTTTGTCCGCCAGAGTATGCTATAATGTTCATAAATTTACAAGTTAAAAATTCAAATTAAGTATGCCATTCTCTTAACACTTGCTCATGTAAAGAAATTTTTTACATCGCTATTGTACAGAGTAAAAGTCCTTTAATAGTGTCTTCATGAAGCATATATTATGTAGTGATTTTATTGGGTACACTGACTATGTCAAAAAAACATTACACAAACAGGGTTCAACCATTGACATGCACATATGGAGTCTTGGATTTTGGTAAATTAGTTCATTTAAATAGTAGATGAGAGTTTCTTTTTCATGATTACTTGCGTAGAAAATATTTTGTTGGCCGGCCCGTATGGCTTGGCCAAACGCCCTAGAATCACCATAGTGAGATATTGACGGTACGGTAAAAGGATGGATATAATTTGAGCACATGATTTGGATTCCATTGTCCTGGATACGAAAATATCGATGAACCGGTGCCGTAGGTCTTCTCCCCTGTCACCCCCGAAGTCCCGGCACTATGAGACCACCTCAGCTAGCTCACGGAAGCCTTAGGTGAGTTTTGAGAGCGTTTGAGAGAGATTGGAGAGTTGGATGCAGAGGAGGGACCTCCAGCGCTATTTATAGAGTTTTCAGCCAGGCTCTCTTATAACGGGTCGAGCCAAACTCGGCCCACACAAGCCGAGCCCATATCCGACTAATCAATAAACCTTATATCCAACCTTATTAGACCAGACCCGCAAGCGGGTAATAACAATCTCAATTAATGTAACCTACATATGAAAACTTTACATTCTCCTACTTGGGCTATATTAATTGAAATCGTACCTTATGTGCACCTTTATTTGGTCTATGGATAATTCTTAATAGTCAATCCGATCCCATAAAGTTTCAAACACCGAATCATGGCGGTAACTGCATGTAATCACGCAGAGCCTTCCATGGTCACAAGTGCCTTAGACTTTACCGATATGGATTCGATATGATGGTGTGGCAAACGGATGACACCTCATAAAGAGTGATACCTCATGTGTCATCCCCTTTGTCAGTCCTCATTCTCTTTCCTTAAGTGTCACTAGAGAATATCTTTATGGTTTCAATGAACCTACATATGTCTTATCCTTATTGTTAACATTACTTTATGCGTAATAAGACATATCCTTAAGGCTAATAACTGAATGCCCATAGCCTTTACTCAAGGTTTACACA